ATCCTTCCGCCTCCGCCTTCCAAGTAGCTGGAACTACAGGCGTGTGCTACCACGCCTGGCTGATTTTTTGATTTATTGTAGAGATGAGGTCTCGCTGCCCAGGTGGGTCTCGAACCCGCAGGCTCAGGCAATCCACTCACCTCAGCCTCCCAAAGGCGCGGGATTACAGGCTGAGCCACCGAGCCCGGCTAGAATGATGTTTTAATAAAACTATGAAAGCCTTGTTGGAAGTCGGGGTATGGGGGTTGGGGAAGAACCATGTTCTCTTTACCTAGACTAACCCTTTCTCGATGTTTCCATCCACAGATAAATATTGAATTCTTGTCATGTGTTCAGTGAGGAGGGTTAGGGACAAGGTAGGAAGTAAGTAAAATTTATAAAATCGCTACTGGCTTTTTGCTCTAGTGTGAGTATCTGTGAGACAACAGTAACATTTGAATAGAATTATCCTTTAGAAACCAACCATTTAAGATGCACACACAAAATTAAAGAGTTGGGATAGACTGGATATGTTAACCGGATGCATTAGGCTGGGAGGAACAGAAAATCTAGCTAGCACAATGCTGTAAGCTGTTGGGACAATAGGGCCTTTGTTGTTTGCTGACAAAAGATTTGGAGGCGGAGGGTCTGAAGGCATGGGAGGCAGCTTGACAACTTCAGCAAGGACCTGACCTGCTCTGTTTCCCAGGTGCTTTTCTTGGGCTTGTGGCTTTTTTTTTTTTTTTTTTATCACTCCTGGCTGCAAAGAAAGCTGGGAAAACAAACATCTGTCTTTGCTGGCCTTTATTGTAGCAGGTGTAAAGGAAAGGGTGGTCAGGAATGGCTCTTATGTAACCAGACAATAGAGCCCGATGAAGGGGGGAAGATATTGGCCACACACACACACACACACACACGCACGCACACCAGGTTGGGCTAGATTACATATAAAAGTTTAAGGTTGAGTGTTCAAATACTGTCATGCGCCACATAACAATGTTCCGATTGTCGCGGGAGTCTTTCACAGAAAGAGAGCCGAGGGGACACCGAGCCTCCTTTGCCAGGAAGCAGCTTTTATTCATGCCAGCAACAACCCAACAGATTCGCATCCAAAGGCTGAACCCCGAATGCAGGGAGGCACTGCCTTCTGTACTCTTGCTTTGTAACCTCTTTGTCTCCTTTGTAAGGTTATAGTTTGGCATTATTCATTTGATTGGATGTTTTGTAGCTCGAGGTTACTGTTAGCATTCCATGTTACACACTGATCGGTGTTACATAATTACTTCATTCGCATATCCTATGTGCTGATTGGCTTACAAGATTGCTGTCCTGATTGGATTCTGCCAAAAGTTTGAACATGTAGCCCGCCCAAGTGGAAAGGCCGAGAAAAAAGCAGCGTGAAGAAGCAGGAAGTAACTTATTTTCCCTCTTCTTACTCCTGCGTTTTCAGAAGGGCCCCTGCCTCAATGCAGGGAAGAAATTATCTAACAACTCACGTCTCAGGCTGCGTCCCCGCTGTTAACCAGCACAGTACTGCATATCAGGAAATTTCACACGTTAAAAAGAAAAGACATGTAACACAAGACAACATGGAGTTGAGTGCAGAATAGATGGTCACAGTGAGGAGAAATGCAAAGAGACAAAAGTCATACAAAGATGCACGACCATAGTTTTCCAGGCAATGAAAACCAAAACAGGAGTTAGGTGTTATTTTTACCAGTCAGGTTTGTGAAAATGTATAGTTTGATAGTAGTCACGGTTGATTAAGATTTAGGGAAACAGGGACCCTCTCAAACTCTTGGCTGATGTATGAACTGGCATTGCTGTTTTGGAGCGTGATTTGATCTGCATATCTGTCAAATTTTACTTATAATTCCACTCTTGGTTTCTTCTTCTGATAAATATTAACAGTTCTACTTAGAAGGTGTGTAAGGATGTTAACTGAAGCATTATTTAAACAGCCAAAAACTGTGGAAATGAAACCTCCTAAATTTCCAGTAATAGAAGAACAGTTAAACAAACGATTACATATCCGACATTCAGACAACTAGGCAACAGTTAAGAATGATTTAGATCTGTACGTAACATAGTGGAAAAAATCTCAAACGCATGTAAAGTTAAACTTAGAACTATGTGAGAAGTGTGACATCACGCATTTAAGCACTCACATCAAATAACACCACAATAACACAATAGGCAGTATTTTCTATATTGACAAAAGCATAGACATAAAACTAAATTTTATAATTGTATTTTTAAAACCTGGAGGATGAGAAACCAGCCCATAAGGAGGAGGAGTGGATTTAAGTGATTAAAAAGGAGCTAAGGCTGGGCTCGATGGCTCAGCCTGTCATCCCAGCACTTTGGGAGGCTGAGGCGAGTGGATTGCCCGAGCCTGCAGGTTTGAGACCCACCTGGGCAACTTGGCGAGACCTTGTCTCTACAATAAATAAAAAATTAGCCAGGCATGGTAGTGCGGGCCTGTAGTTCCGGCTACTTGGAAGACTGAGGCAGAAGGATTTCCTGAGCTCAACAGGTCGATGCTGGGGTGGCCATGAGCGAGCCACTGCACTCCAACCAGGGTGACAGAGTGAGACTTCAATTAAAAAAAAAAAAAAAAAAAAAAAAAAAAAAATATATATATATATATATATATATTTTTTTTTTTTAGTATATATACACACCTTTAGACATATATAAATGTGTATACAAAGAATGTATGCATGAATATATTATGTATGTAGATATATGTCTATATAAAGAAAACCGTTATTAGATAATAGTATATAGATGGTGCATTAAAACAACAAAACTCTTAAAGGGAAATGCAAATGATTGAAGTTTCAGAAACCCTAAACTAATTGTCTTTTTCTATGTATATGAAGAAAACTAAATTGTTGCTACTTTCTTGTGCTTTTTGCAACTTGATTGAATCATCTCAAAGTTATGGTATAAAACATACATAATTTCAGATTGGTGGTATATTTTATTCTTTGCATCCATAAGTAACAGTAGTCTTTTATAATCACTAAATAAATGGAGCAGCCAACAAATCCTATACTTTTTCAAGATTAGAAAGTATTTGGCATAGAAAGTCTTCTCAAAGTATTAAGTTGCCTGCAGGGAGGGCTGAGTCTGGGCGGCAATCCCAGCCAAGGGTCGTGATGAATGTATACCATTACACAATGTGTTGGCCTTTACATAAAATAATAATGACATAATCCACATTATTAAGAGAAAAGAATGGAATACACTGTTTTGAGCTTTGACTCTGAGCTAATGCTTAACATCTGTTTGCCAGGGTGGTCCTGGACTCCGGGGACCGAAGGGCCAGCAGGGTGAGCAGGGCCCCAAGGTAACGTACGTTTCGCCCTCCCGCCCTCCCTCTACCCCAGCCCTATCCCCGTCTCTACCGTCTGTCTCCCTTACGCTTTCTCTCTCTTTCCTTTTTCTCCCTTGCGCTCTCTCTCCTTCATAACTTGCCATCGTTTTGGAGCTCAATATAACTTAATTTACTCTTGCAGTCTAAAGCCCTTGATATTTTCATGAGAGTTGTGTCTAATCCATTTTTCTTATTTTTAGAGACCATGCTTTTTAATAAAAAAATAGTACTTAATAACTCAGAGAGAGAAAGGCTTCTGGGTCAGAAATAAGAGTGCCAGTGTTGGAGGGGCTTAGTCTCCAAAGTCGTTCTCTCTCTTGTACATTCCTCATTTCCTCCATCTACAACACAAATCCAGCCTCAGAGGAATCATGCAGAATTGCAACACGGCGTCTGTCCCTTCCAGGTAGTTTCTCAGGTTTGGGATCCTTCCTCCCCTTTGTCACGATGTGTAGTCAAGCACACAGCGCTGTTTTCCCTTCTCACTGCCCAGGGCCACCCAGTGTGGTGGTGCAAGTTGCACCAAGGTCTCAGCCAAGCGGGCCGAGCCAGGCCACGCCATGTCAGCGCACACATTTTCCGACTTTGGGCAGAAGCATCCTAAGGACTGGCGGAGGCCCAGCCACTAGCTGAGTCCAGGCTTTATCATTTTCCATTTGCTTTTGGCAAATCTGCCAACTGGTCTCTTGCCCCCAGTGGCTTGACATTTTGATCGACTCTTCACATCTGCCCCAGGTTGATTTCCTCAGCGTCTGTGCTGGATCGTGGCAGACTCTTCAAAAATCTGCAGTCATATGCTGCTGCCTTGAGAACCCAGTTCACCCTCTTTAGCAAGGCATTCAAGATCCTTTATAATTTGGCTTTCCATCTCATTTTCATCATGTTGCACCACATATCTCCTCTTCATCTTGCTTGACGTACTGCTTCAATGCGGTTGCTTGTTAAATTTACATACATTTATTTGTGGAGAACATTACAAAACTTTTTGCTATAAAATTGGAAGCAGATGAAGCAGGTTAGGAGGAAATATGTGGATAAAAGAAGTAAATGAAAGAAGACCAAAGACAATTATTCAGGTCCTAGTCAACTCAAAACTCAGACCATAAGAGATGGCTTTTTAGTTTGTTTTATTTTGTCTTTGAGACAGACTTGATGTACTACTTAACTTGGCTCCATCTCTATGGCAATAAGAACGACCAATGGCCAGAGACGCTTCCCAAACAAGGATATACTGGATCTTCCTTGATCTCACCCAAGGGCCTATCGCTGAGCCTCTGTGGATTCTGACGCCCTCTTTCCAGCACCTCTGTCCGTTCAGGCCCATTGTTTGCTAACGTTCTCCCTGGATGGCTCTAATCAAGAAGATAAGTTAGTTCATAGAGGTTTGGTGATCCCAGGATGCATCTGCTCTCTTCAGTTATCCACTCCCACGGGACTATTGCTAATAGAGTTATTTCTTTATGTTGAATTTGAAGAATCACATCATGTCAAGTCAAGTACGTAGTGGTTTTTGAAAAAAGCCTTGTTGGACAAAGGGTGCTGGCATGTCCACTAATGTGCACAGTGTAGGAAAAGAAAAAATCTTATGGAAAGCCCTAATATGTATTATTTTTTATTTCGTTGCAACAAATAATAAGAATTTGGAAACACAAAGCAACCTTGCTGCTGGACACTCGTAGTATTTTTGCTGCGTGTTTTACAGAATAAAATGGGGCCACCTATTTTCTGCCCTTCTACTGTGCTCTCAATTCCTCAGTAACACATTGTTAAGCCATTCAAATTATGTCCCACTGAGCGATTACAAATACTAAGTAAGTTGCCTCCTTTTCTCCTCTCTCGCGTTCATACAGATCTGGCCGTCTCTCCCTTCTGCTTGCAGTGAGCCTTGTGAGAGTCGCTGCCATTCTGTGCCTCCACGTCCCACCTCCCACATCATTCTCAAGCCGCCTGTGGCTTCTGTTCCCTGAGGAGTCCTGTGAAATGACTTTTGTTGAAGTCCCCAGTTCCGTGCTTGTGGCCGGGTCCGCTGGCGAGGGCTTCGTTCTCCTCTTGAGGTCGCGGCGAAACTCCACTCGAACGGACACCTCTCTGTGTGGAGGGCCCTCCTCCTCGGCCTTCTCTGCCCCACTGCACCCTCTTCTCCTAACTCTTAGGCTTTCTCATGTGCGGTTCTTTCCCAGGCTTCTCTTCCTCTCCCTTCTGCCCAGTTTTCATCTCCTTGTGTCCATTTTCACCCCCTCTGTCAGCACACGCTCCCTAACGACCTAAGCCCCAAACTGTCTCAAGCTGCTCCGGACTCCACCCCAGCTCAGACTCTGCCTGACTCCTGGCCTGCTGAGCACTGCCTCGCTGTCTTCCCGGTGCTCCTGAACTTTGGCGGGTCTCAGGCTGCTCGCATTGCTTACCCATACTGACCTCGGCATGCCTTGTTTTCTGTCTCCTTCCCCCCAGGTAATGAGTGACCTTCTCACACTGAGATGATACCCAGATACTGAAGGACTTAACTGAACAAAACAGTAGCTTTAGTTGGAATCACAGAATGAGACAGAAAGAAGAGATTGAGACTTTGCAGGTTTTCTGGGTCTGAGATTTCAGAGGTGCCGTAGTTATAGGTAAACCACAACAAGGTCTGAACTGTGGAAGTAAGGGTCACTGCAGTGAAAGGGATGCTTGACCCTGAAAAGAAAGGACACGAGAAAGATAGTGAGCCCGGGGCAGGCCATTCAGAAGCTTGGAGAGCCTGACGGTAGACTCAAGGTGAAAACAGGATTAGTGAAAAATCCTCAACAGATGGGGAGGCGTGCCCTGGGGTGGGTGGGTGGTCAACAGTTTTGAAGATGGAGAGAATGTAGTTCATCTGGGTGGTGTGAACGTTCACAGACTAGGAGGGTGGTCTTGGAGCACTTGCACCTCATGAATTTGTTATGGAGTGTAGGGGGTCCGGTTACTCACCCAACTGGCACAGCATTCCTATTTGTGGAAGCAAAAACATAAACAGAGTTGCAAGCAACCCCCATGTGTTTCCTCTGATGGTTTACTGCTGACGTTCTGCGCAGGAGGTGAATCATCTGAGCTTGGTGTCTCATTATCCTGTATTTCATGCCTTAGGACAAGTTATCGAAGGAGACAAACTACAAGTGCTCTGAGCAGAAATACCTTCTAAGTGTCAGAGGATCTAACTTGCTAGTTCTAGGGTGACTTTTCTCTCTTGCCTTCCAGGGACCAGATGGCCCTCGAGGTGAAACGGGCCCTGCAGGACCTCAGGGTCCCCCTGGACCTCAAGGACCAAGTGGTCTGTCCATCCAAGGAATGCCTGTGAGTTGTGAGCAGACATTCAGATGGGCTTCACTGTTATCCCTTTTCCATGAAGTTACAAAGAATAAACTTTTGTCTTCTGTGCCTTTTTTTTTTTTTTTTTGAGTTGGAGTCTCACTCTGTTGGCACGCTTCCGGCCACCGCAGCCTTGACCTGCTGGGCTCCGCCTCAGCCTTCCAAGTAGCTGAAACTACAGGCGCGCGCTACCGCGCCCGGCTAATTTTTTTTTTGATTTATTGTAGAGATGAGGTCTCGCCAAGTTGCCCAGATGGATCTCAAACCCGATAGCTCAGGCAATCCACTCACCTCGGTCTCCCAAGGCGCAGGATTACAGGCTGAGCCACCGAGCCTGGCCTTCTGGGCCTTAATAATGAGCTTCTGTCCTTTGGAAGTAATGACAGGTGTCCACTCATTGACCACGGCCGTAGCCAATATTTTGCTCCAAGATGAAGGCCTCTGAATAAGTAGGCACATGCGTGGGAAATAAGGACAGCCACAGCATCATGTCTAGACGGAGAACTGTGCTCAGTGCGTGTTGCCCTTTGTCTTGTTTGACGGGATTCTTAATGGATGTGATAACATCTAGAAAATAACAAATGTTATACAGATTTAAGTTATTCAGTATTTACTTGTAGTGACTGCAGATGTAGATTAATGAAAGACATTTATTCACGGTGTTTATCACAACTGGCATCAACGTGCAGTCCACTGAATGAGTCTGAGGTTATAGATGGTGCACTTTAGACAGCTGCCTTTCTTTGAAAGTTGAAAAGTTACTCTACACCTTTGAAAACAAATGTAATTCCATTCACTGGTCTCCGTTCATCTTACTGTAGGCCTCTAGATTTAAGAAGAAAACCAATCTCTCTGACATTTGAAGCAACTAGATCCCTTTAAGCACACTTGTTAACAACCTTTTTGCTCATAAGGTTGGGTCTCCATAGCTGAGAAGTTTTCCCCTGTGTTATTTTCACATTTTAGAAAGCATTCACATGCCAGTTGGTGCGGTAACTACTACTATAAATTACCTGCCAGATTTTTCATTTGCTTTTCCATTATTATATTCCATTTTCATATTTTTCTAGCCAAAACAAGACAAATCTATATAGGTATGGGATTTTAAAATCTAAACTGTAAGTAATATTGACACATCATGTCTCTTCCCTATGTATTTACAGTACTGGCTTAGTCATATTGGGCTCTATATTTAGTGTCGAAACCGCCATGGTGTATGAGAGCTCAGCTCCACGAGAATGTTTACATAAATGGCACAGCATATGTGAGATGTGAAATGTGCTCTGTTTGAATGTTAGTGATAAAGCAATTGGATGTTGAGAATGCCCTGAGCAGAGGGAGGAAATAAAAGACTAAGAGTTTACTATGTGCACTTAACTCTGTGTACTTTTGGACCTTCAGGGAATGCCGGGTGAAAAAGGAGAGAAAGGAGACACTGGCCTTCCTGGCCCACAGGTATTGTTTTTTCCAACTGTTACTCTCAGCTCTTGAGCTTTGCCAAGGGAGAAGGGCTGCAGCTTCTGATGGCAGCTGTGATCTTGCAGAAAGCGATTTCCATATTAAAGACTGTCTGCCTATGTTCATTCACCCAAGCCCCTCTGAGAGCCACACTGGTGGTCTCCAGGTGAACATTCTTGGTCCGGGAGTGACTTCCAGGTCTCAGTTCCAAGTTGCAGAGGGTTCATCATGACACTGTTAGGCTTGCTTGGAAGCCTTGGTCCACTCCAGGAACGTGGGTGTGAGGCAACCCATCCCGGGCAGCTGACTCTCTTTCTTCCTTGTTCATGTAGGGCATCCCAGGAGGTGTTGGCTCACCGGGACGCGATGGCTCACCAGGCCAGAGGGTAAGGACTCGCCCGAGCCGGGCTCTTAGCAGAGTAGATGTCATGCTGAATGTCAGGCTTCTGGCATGCTGGCAGGCTTCTTTGCGAGGAAGTCAAGCAAGTTTTAGTTTTCTCCCATGACCTACCTATCCTGTGTCTATTTTTCTTTGCTGATGTTTCTTTGTCTACGGCTGTCATCAAGACCGGGCATTTCCATCAAACTTCCCCGACTGGCACACCTCTTTCCGAGCACTCCCACCACCTGAATGGAGTCTCTTGCGTGCATTGGGCTAGCACATTTTTCTAGTTCTTTCCAATCCTTACGGCATAAAGCTGAAGGAAGTCAAGAATCGTGTGATTTGAAGTTTGAGTGGAATGGCTCCCTGTAGCACGGTTTACACAGCAATCTCCATTTATTTAGTAGATTTCAGTTATTTGTTATTCTAAGCCTTTCAAGAGGACACCAGTGCAATTGGTATAAAGATGATCAGGAGGGGGGTGAGCTAAGACCTGGGGTCTGTTTAATCAGGTTTTTACTGAGCCAGGTTAAAGGCTCTTGCTCTCCAAGAGCTCACGGTTTGTTGGGAAGAAAGATGACTAGATAAGCTGAAACGGGGACAGCGTCCCGTGTGAACACCCAGAACGGACAGCCAGGCTGGGCGCGGAGGGCCGGGGCGGCTTCCCAGAGCGGCCTCACCCCGCCCGAGCCGGACGGAAAGACACAAGTGCCAGGGAAGCCAGGCAGAGGAGACGCGCTGGGCCGGCGGGGCTGG